CTATCAACAGAACTCTATAAAGAGAAACCTTTAAAAAGATTTGTTGCAGAAATCCCGGTCCCATCATTGAAACAGCTTCGATAAACCTTGGAAAATAGGCGATTTTTTTTACTTGGCATCAAATTGGGGCCTCTTTAAGAAATAGTTTAAAATATAAACAGTATAGTAACCTTATTCATTATTATGATTTCTAATCATTGTTACGTTGTTTTGTCTCTGCAATATAGATTTGAATAGAATAATATAAATTATCAATTGTGTAAAGTTAACAGACAGGTTTTTAAAAATTAGACACAGTTTAGCACAAAACACTAGCATCGAACGCCAAAATGTCACTTGAACGACCCCTTCTAAAATTAAAACTATTTTCTAGGACACTTTTTAAAGTAATATCAAAATATAATTGGGGCTTTAAAACGCTAATCCCTGTTTTTTTTTGGGTCACCCTAAACCAACTATTTTGGTCAGAATACTGGAGCACGCACCAAAACATTTTTTAACCATTTAATGTGATTTCTCTCAAATTTAATTTTCTGAAGTTCTAATATAGATTACTTTCAACGTGACAAGTTTGAACTTTTTGAGATGAATATTTTGTTATCTATCTAAGTCTAATGTATACTGTAATCGTATTTTAATATAAACTGTTTACAGAGTGGTATGCATGTCCCGATTCACAACAGATACCCTTTAAAACTTTGTCTGAGTTAAAATAGTTAATTTTCCTTATTTTTCTAAATGACTCCAGATTAATATGCTGCAGAAACAATAAAGAAAACCGAAGAAATCTTCCTTATCATTAACTCGATAAAGGGCGAAATGGCATCGGACATGAAACGGTTTAAACCTAGAGGCACTTAAATTTAGTTGACAGTGCCTTTAAATAAAACTTTGTACCTTCTCTGCGCGTGTCTGGAATGTTTATATTTTCAATATCTAAATTGTATCATTTATCACTGGACGGATCCTCTAGTCCATTTTTCACCTTTTCAAAAGAAACCCTCACTGCTCACAGTCAGGAAACTCTTTCTTATTCAAACATTTTACTTGAATTGGAAATTTTGAATGTACTTAATGAGTTCAAATTGTTATATACGTTATTTTTGGTTCAAGATTTGGCAAAACAATGCGTTGAACCATATAAATCCAAATCTTGGTTAATCGCAATTAATTACGGTAATTAAATGATTTTTACAGTCAAAAAGCCACCAGTGAATGTGATAAGACTTCAAATACTACCAGAATCTCTTAAATTCTGGCGAACCCACGTATTAAAGTCTTCTGCCTTAACCCATTAGTGACGAGACCATTAATTATTAGTGAAGTTGTTTTAGAAGGATCTTGTCAAAACAAAACTTGATTGTACTCATGAAAAAACAATATTAAATTAAATTTTTGAATTTTTTTGTACAGGGTGACATGTAAAACATGAAAATCTAAAAAACTTTTGTATTTCATATTTATTTAATTATCTTCAAAACTTTACTTTTCATGTTTTAGTTATTTAGATCTTTAAAAGAAGATTCCAAAAATATCTTTAAATTTTTTCTAGCCAAAAAATTGACAATTTTGTAGATTCAAAACTAAATTACAGGGTGTTCTTTTGTTTTTTTTCTGAATTCAAAATCTTGTTTTTTTTGGGTTTTTTAAAATTGAAAATAAAAAAAAACTCAATTTTGAAGTTATGTCAAATATAAAATATGTTTTGAAAACAGGAAATCCTAAGGAAAGCGCAGGAAAAGACAAGACAACATTTAGTTTAGGAAAAAAGGCACTTAAAAAACCTCACCCGGTCAAAATTGACCTTCTCGTCACTAATGGTAAAGAAAGGAACAAGCTTGCAGTTGCAAGGAATCATGAACTTAAAGAAGCAGATTTACTATAAATTCACTACAGTCGTCTCTGAAGTCTCTTCCTTTCAGTGTAACTATAATGCACCCTTACAATTATGAAGTTTTTATTTACAATGACAGTTCATACAGAATTTATTAATAGTTATGCATAAAATGTTGTGTTTAAAAGTTACCAAAACGTTGTCAAATATGTCCCCTCACCTCTCCGCGGCCCATTACACATTTTTACATTTTTATATTCTCGCACCATTTATTTAAATGTAATGTAATATTTTTACATGGAAGAAGAGGAAGATATAGATTGAGGTAATTTATCTTCAGTGAAAAAGTTTCAACTAAACTTAGGAGAGAGATGGGGAATATGTGTGTACAGTTTTTCCTGTTAAACATAATAATTGGAAATGTAAATCGTGCTATTTAATCTTCCATATTTTAATACGGTCATAATTAGAAAGAACCGGAATTAATTTACGACTGTACAATATAATTTTACAAATATGATTAATAAAACGATAGTAACAAAATAGCCCAAGTCCTGCCGATTCCAAAATGTGGTCTGCCTTTTATGTGAGTTTAAAATTACCAGATATATATGTAAAGTCGTCTGATTAACTTTCAATTTATTCCGGGTCTTTCTGGTTATCACGTTTGATACTCAGTTGAAAATAATTGATTTGATCTGAAAATTGATTAACAGGGTTATTGATCATTGATCAATTGCAGCCTTTCCATTCTTCCGATCAAATTCTTTCAAGCCCCAGATGTTTAAACTTTGAAAATCATATTTTTTTATTACTTTATCTTCCCTCCTCCTAAACTTTACAGAAACCATCAATGTTACGATTTAATTTAAGGATTATAATAAAACTTTTAATTTTACTCGACTGAGTCAGAAGTTTGAACTACCCTGGTGTTACTTAAGTTCAGTTTTAAAGGAATTGATACTATTTTCAGTTTGGGTTATTTTTAAGAAGATTACGATCCTCGATCCACAATTCATTTGTGTTCAATTTACGAGACGAACCGAATTTTTCATATTTTGCAATGTTTTACAATTTCCCTACCAAGACCTGCAAAGATTTTCCGAACCTTAAAAATCGACGACCTAACTTTTTTTGACTTGATTTTCTGTCAAATTCTTGTAAATTAAGCTTAGGATAATTTATTTCGGCTGAAAATAAAGATTTCCAATAAATCTTATTAAAGGTTTTTACCCTGCAGAGATATTAGAATAATATCAATATTTAACAATTATTGGAATTTTTTATCCTATTAATTAAAAATAAAGAGACGCTTCTCAAATGTTGAAAATTTTCTTAATTGGTAAAAATAATTAAGCAGAGGGTGTCCCCATAAAACATGAGAACTTACTGACCACATAAAAGTCTTGAAAATGAATCAGGGAATAATGTAGAAAATAAGATTTTACAACTCATTTTCCTCCGAAATTTAGTCTTTGTTTCCTCTGCAATGAAAGAGTCAAGATAATCTAAATATTTTCCATTTGTTTCACAAAAATATAAACTAGAACAAAATTCTTTCTCTCCCTCAAGATTGTAGATCCCAGAGTTCAAGACGTGTTCATTGTTATGGCCATGTAACATGTAACATTGTCATAAATTTTACAACTGTCGCTGCATGTATATCAAAGCGAACTGTAAAGGAAAATTAAAGGGGGTATTGGCTGAAACCTAAGCATTTTAGGAGTTGATCGAGACCCATAAGAGTTCTATCTGAAGTTCATGCCTCGAGAAATTGATATAAAACTGTGTCAAATGTATGAAAAAATTTGTAGTTTATGAAAGTTTGTATAAAAATCGTAAATTTAAACAGATAATATTCAGCAAATATGCAACCAATCTGAAAACGACGATATCCCAGAGGATCCTTTAAGTAACTAAGGTTTGTTTCTATTATTATTTGAATTTAATCTTTTTTCATTTTAATAGATATAATTGATAATATTATTATTACGTCCATATCACATGACCGGAGCTCACGTGACTAGTATCCTGCAATGCCATCGGTGGGAGTTCTGGTCACGTGATACGGACATATAAATCATATTATCAATTATATATGTTAAAATTGAAAAATTCTTAAGTTCCAATGATAATAGGAACAAACCAAAGTTACTTTGGCTCCTCTGGGATATCGTCGTTTTCGGATTGGTTGCTATTATTTTTATGCAAAATTTTATATATATTGATTTTCGTATAAATTTGACCCAGTTTTATATTATTTCTCGAGACAGGAACAGTACATCATATCAGATAGAACTCTTATGGGTCACGATCAACTCCTAAATGCTTGGGTTTTACCCTATACCCCCTTTCATTTTTCCTCCACAGTACCTTTAACGACGAGTTAAAAGTCGTCACTTCATTCCCAAATGGATAGAGAGACCAACCTTCTACATCTACAGAACAATTATTCGTATGAAATGGTGAAAACTTTTTTTCACAATTTTGTTTAAAATGAAGTTTAGATCCCTGCCTGACTATAATTGAAAAAATGGGTTGAGTTGTGCTTTTTTGCGTGACGCGGCTGGATTTTTAAAAATCACACTTTAAAGGCCCTAAATATACCATTAAAAAAAGTAGTTATGCCCGGAAGAGTCAAATGTGGTGGCCCGGAAGGGGAAATAGTGGTGGCTCATGGCTGCCGGAAGAGAAAAAAGCTAATATGTGGCCCGGAAGGGGAAATAGTGGTGGCTCATGGCCGCCTGCCTTCCCCCGCTCGCCTGACTTGCAAAGATGCAAAGAGCTTCTGAATCCGAAGATTAATGAATTTGAGCCGCGTCACAAATCCGTAAAAAAACGGTTTTAATTGAGCGCCGGCTTAAATTTACATTGATTACAATTTAAAGTGGAACCAAGCATATTTGAGCCGCGACTCAAATTCTTTAAATTCGGTCTCTGTAAGCGCAATTATAAGTGACCCTCCGTTCACAGCCAATTCACAACGGTACCCTTAAAACCTTCATCAATTAAAAATGTGGTAGATACCGTCGTTTTTACAACTGTTGAAAATCAAGCATTGCCATCTTTGCATGGAGGGTCACTTAAATGTGCGCTTGCAGTCCCTTTCAGCCCTCTTCTCTTCCCCTATCCATTTCATGAATAAATAAAATCTAAAAACAGCAGCTAAATGATAAAATTAAAATATATTTGATACATTTTCTATGAAGCGTAATATCATTTTCCCGATAAATAATACAATATGAGGGATACATAATACAGGGCACAGTGAGTTCAATAAACTAGTGTTTTCTTAAATTCTCTTTAAATTAAGCTAATTAAAATGTGATTCATACCTAAATGTTAAGTGGGCATATTTCTCTTTTATAATTTTAATAGTTTTTTTATTAAAGATATTCGTTTTGGTGTTAACTGTAAATCCATGCTCCTGTTGTACAATTCGCATCTGTACATGTGTTAAGAAAAAAGTACATTTAACCAATCAGCGTCATACATCGGTTATACAACGGCTGGTGAGTTTTCTGGATTCAGATCACTGGTTTAAGTGTTGGTACAATTTAATATGAAGATTAACGTTTTTTAAAATAGCTTTTATACACAACTCCTAGATCGGAGATTATGAATTTTAGAATCTTAATATGAATAGAGTCGTGAGTTTTGAAGTCTAATGTATAGTAATTGAAAGCAAATATGATCTTTGATTCGTATTTCTGATCTATACAGCAAGTATTTGGCCGGATCCTTAATTCTTGGAGCTAGGTATAATCTTTCAAACCATTGAGGTAATAATACAACAGTGGCAGGTCTTAAGACTGATTCATCCCCCAACTTAGATAATCAGGTTTCCTAAAAATAATAAACCTTAGTAACATTTTAATTTTCGGCCAAATCCAAGCACCAGAATTGGCCGTCCCCCACTTTGATTTTGCAGGTTTAAGATCTTCGATTGAGTTAGGTCCAGACAAATTCTGACCGAGAGCCACAGCCTACACAGACAATGGGATACGACGATGCGCCTAGTGCCTAGGAGTAAGCAGTGCTAGGGATCCGTTTAATTTTGCTGCGGATCCAGATCCTGGATCCGCCATGATAGGAAAATCGACCCGGATCCCTTCAAGATTTACCGATTTATAAAGCAAATAACACATTATCAAACATGTTTCTTTTTTGCTTATTTTTTGCTAAAACTTACTGAACCATTCCCAGATATGGAAAAAAAGAAAAAAGTAAACACGGAAAACAGAGTGTTTCAGATCCAACGGATCCGGATCCTAAGCACTGCGTCTAGCTGTAGATTTCTGAATAGAGAGCCCGCAACAGTCAAAAAGTACGATAATACTTTTTTTGCGAGAACCCAAATAAATGAATTATGTAAACTATATTACCTGGCAGCATGATATTCGTCAACAAGCTGCTGAACAACTTCTCTACTATCATCCATCTCATCCAACCCGTCAGCAAACATAGGCTCCTATTCATACAATTCATTGAAAACAGAACACTTAAAACAGATTTTTGAAGATCAAATCTTTTTGGATAGGGATTAAAGTCGGCTACGGAAAATCAATAAATTAAGAAAAAACAATTAATTTTTGGGTAAAAAGTATAAAAGGATGGAAAAAACTTGCCTTTTCAGGTCCAATTCCCCCCCCCCTCTTAAGAAAACACTCATTAAATGCAAACTTTAGATCTTTTTTAAACAAATCCCAACCCTACTCTCTAGCACTAGAATTATATCATTTTCTTCTCAATATATTTCACCAAAAACGTTGACATCATCAGGAGTTTTGTCCTTACTCTTTTGAAGAGGATTGAATGCAAAATACAGCTTTTTGCTGGTTTTAACCTAGACTAAAAGTTCAAGAGATTTAGAAATAACAGAAGAATATTGACAACAAAAAAACTAATGTTCCGAATATTTTACAAAATCAAGAACAGTCCTTTAGCGTTGTTTTGTAATTGTAGAAACCCGGATTAAATATTGTGAGTATGAAGGCTAAGGATTTTAAAGGCGGGACCCGTCTAAGCCTTTTGTTCTCAAATTCTAAGATTAATAATGTTTTTCATTCCATTCTCAACTTGACAGAGAAATAAATCCTTTAAATTAATGACAGATGCATGTGCTACATTAAGATTCAGAATATAAAACTTTGTATCTTGAATATAAAAATGAAAATTAACTGGATTAACGTGGGCCGGCGATTACTGATAAAATAAACACGTGATAACGAGAGGAGGCCAATTATTCAAGAGAATCTGCATTGACGTACGTATCTCTAATTATCATAATTGAACATTAATTTTATTTAATATTTTATTTTTACCCCCCCCCCCCCCCCCCCCCCGGACCTTGGAAATATTTTCTCTCTGCAGATGTTAGGTTTGTTTGCACGCATTTCTCAAGGAATAAGTTAATTTTTTTTTGGAAAAATTTATGATTTTCGGGGAAAATATTACATTTTTGCGTAAAACTAAATAGTATCAAAAAGGTTGGAACAATTGCCAGTTAAATTGCAATTTTACATTTTCCATACAAATCATTAAAAACATTGGAAGATAATTAAAAAGATATCAATAAAATATCTATAAAATAGAGCTCTTCGCTCATATGTTCGCTATAGCTAGCCAATAGGCTGACCCATGACTGATTGTTTTTAGAGAACCCATGAGTATCACGGAAGTAACAAACTATAATAACTTAAGGAATTTTTTTAATTACACGGGCAACCCCGGGTACTGCTAAAATCATGATTAAAGACAAAGCGCTGGTAAACGGCGGGAGTAACTATGAGTAACCTAGCACACACCTGGCAATTCAGCTAGTTCTCAATAAATAAAAAAACTTAAGAAAATGTCAAAAATCTTTTTACCTTTCTGAACTGGTCAAGGAAGGCATTTCGTTTCCGCAGTTTATCGTAGTCTCTCATTGCTCTCTCAAACAGAGCTGAATGTAAACACAATTATAATTAATAATTATAAAAAACTTTGAATATATTTAAAAACAAAGATTAAAAAAATTTATTAGGATTTTACCAAAGAATTGATGACTAGCGGAATAAAGTTAAATTAGGTTAATGAACTTTTTCTTCACAATTCAAGTTATGTATTATCAAATCAAATCAAATCAAATCAAATCAAATCAAATCAAATCAAATCAAATCAAATCAAATCAAATCAAATCAAATCAAATCAAATCAAATCAAATCAAATCAAATCAAATCAAATCAAATCAAATCAAATCAAATCAAATCAAATCAAATCAAATCAAATCAAATCAAATCAAATCAAATCAAATCAAATCAAATCAAATTAAATCAAATTAAATCAAATCGAACCAAATCAAATCAAATTAAATCAAATCAAATCAAACGAAAAATGAAATGAAATGAAATCACATGGCACGGATGGCTTAAGGCTCCTAAATGAGTTTTAAGCTTTGCTCACATTCGAGGTTTTCAGCCGGATCTAATAAATTGTTATTTTTATTTTGTTTTTAAAGGGGATGGTTGAGTTGGCACATTTGATGTAGGGGGGGGCTGCCTTCATTTTTGGTTCAAATCTTCCAATTTTTTGGGTGCACGCCTAATTAGTGATCGTAATTCCTAAAATAAAATAAAATTGAATTCTAATAACCTAGCTCTAATGACCTCTAGTGACCTCCAGAAATAGAAAATATTTCAACTATGGCTTTATGCACATCAAACGAAAGCTAGGGACCCAGGGAATACAGTAGCAGCAAAAAATCCAGTGTTTGACCTTCTAATGACCTCTTACGACCTCTAATGACCTAAATGACCTCCAAAAATGAAAATGTTTTAAC